GTATTTCACAGTTTACTTAGTTTCACTCAGTTTCACACAGTTGTTCAGCAACTTTAATGAGAAAGAAACAATTAAAAGCAACAGAAATGTCGTCATTTTTTGAATACGGGGTTTCAAAGTTGCCATAGCAACAGACTAAACTAAATAGCAAAAAGTTAATTCAACTCAAAAATGTGTCACAAAATCATCAAAAACATTCCCTTAACTTAAAATTCTTGAGCAATGTGTGGGATATACTGAGTTTTATGTACAACTGACTTAATTTATTTGAGTTAAAACAAAATGCGGGTTTACAGTGTAGAGGAAATCACTGCATGAGCTCAGAAACACTTTTAAAAATCACTGTCTGTAAAAACAGTTCATCACTGCATCCACAAATGCAAGATAAGCTTGTTATCAGTGCACAGCTCAAAAGCCAGTATTCATGATAGTATAGGGGTGCATTAGTGCACATGGCATGGGTGACGTGCACATCTGAGAATGCATCAATAATGCTGAATGATATATACATGTTTTGGCAACATATGCTGCCATCCAGACGACGTCTTTTTCAGGGAAGGCCTTGATTATTTCAGCAAGACAATGTCAAACCACATTCTGCATGTATTACAGCAGCATTGCTCCATACTAAAAGAGTCCAGGTGCTCAGTCACCACTGAGAATTTTTGCTGCATTATGAAACGAATAATACAACAAAGTAGACCCTGAAATGTTGATGAGCTGAAATTCTATATCAAACAAGAACATGGAAACATTTCACTTTCAAAACTACAGCAGTGTCTCCTCAGTTCCCAAACACTTACAGAGTGTTGTTAAAAGAAGAGGTGATGAAACACAGTGGTAAACAGGCCCCCGTCCCAACCTTTTTGGAACATGTTTTTGGCATCAAATTCAAAATGGGCAAATAATTGTTCAAAAAACGATAAAATTTCTCAGTTTCAACATTTGATATGTTATCTTTGTACTATTTTCCTTTGAAAATATGGTTTACATGATTTGCATATCATTGCATTCTGTTTTTATTTACATTCTGCACAGCGTCTCAACTTTTTTGGAAATGGGGTTATAATTTGAAAATCACACAGCTACACATTTTACATTTAAGATTTTGTTACTGGGATGTGGCAAATTGTTGGCTTAGGTCACAAAAGGAAAGTGGGATTATGGGAGCAGCAGTGCACTGAATGCCCATACACCTACCAATCAACCAGCCTCCTCATCCCCTACCAATGAGCCTTACTCCCAGCTGAAGAAATGGGTGAGCAGCATTATATTGAATGACGTGACAGTTGGAGTAATTGCATACGGTGTGTGGAACTTTCTTTTTATTATTATGAAAAAAAAAACAAAAAAACAAAAATAGTCAAGTCCTTTTGAATGGTAAGAGTTCATGCACCATAATTATCTTTTCACAAGTCATTTTCAAAAGTGTTTTAGAATCTCTTGTGTGTTGTTGTCTTTGCTTTTTGTTGTTGTAAAGATACACACATGGCATTATATTTGCAATTTTACATTATTGAGTGTCCATTTTACAATGTTTTGTACATCGAGAGATTAAAATGCTAACTTTAGCTAATTTTGAAGCCCCAGGCTATTGTTTAAAATAGCCAGCTGGTAGGGTGATTGGGCCCAATGTGATGTCTTTTTATCCTGCCCTGTGATGGACTGGCGACCTGTCCAGGGTGTTGCTTGCCCTCTGTCCATTGTGCGCTGGGATAGGCTCTAGCACCCCCTGTGTCTCAGGAGGATAAGCAACTTAGATGATGAGTGAGTGAGTAAGTGAGTGAGTGAGTGAGTGAGTGAGTGAGTGAGTGAGTGAGTGAGTTGAAATCACCATTTTGCAATATAGACAAAAGCAATATCATTATATCAGTTATCATGTCAGTTAAAGTTATAGTGAACTTCTTATGCAGCCTGTCAGTGCATAAAACAATAGAAACAGAGGGATATAACAGAAGTTAGGACACTTTTGGGGTTGTCCTAAACTTTCGTCTTGTAAAGATGTTTGTTTAATATTGTTTCCTTTTCTGGTGTTAATGATTATGAAATTAAAATTAAGAAAGTAAGAACTGTTGTTCTTTAATAGCTGCTGACCTACAATCAGCCCTCACTGAAGTTGTTATAACTAAATAAATATGATTTCAAAGTTAGGACAATTCTGTAATTCTGTAGAACTGCGGAAACTTCCTGTCTTTTTGTCTTACGTTAAAATCTGACAAGTCAGGATGAGATTTTTCACAATTGCATATTATAGAAGTAAATCTTATCTTAATTTAGGAATTTTAAGAATTTTAGGATGGGATAGGAATTTTAGGAGCAGGCATAGAGAAATAGGATAGCAAAGGAATAGGGTAGGATTCTTATCCTATCCCATAGGAATAAATGGGGAATATGTTAAGAATTTTAGGATTGGAGAAGAAGTTGCTGTAGTACTGCTTCTGGGTTTTTAAAAACTTCTCACAGTTGAAACCAACGTTTTGCAACATAAATAAATGTATACATTATCTTGCCATTATGCTAGCTGTGAGGTATAACCGGACAGCTGAAACAGAAGTTAGAGAACCATTGGGGTTGGCCATAAGTTGGCCTTGTTGGTGGCACAGTGGTGTGGTGGGTAGCGCTGTCATCCCACAGCAAGAAGAGCTTGGGTTTGACTCCCTGGCCGAGCGACTGGGATCCTGTCTGTGTGGAGTATGCATGTTCTCCCTGTGTCTGTGTGGGTTGGACATGCAAATTTGCCCCTAGCTGTGTGTGTGGATGTATATGTCTGCCCTGTTGATTGACTGGTAACCTGGTTAGGATGTTTCATGGCTTCTGTCCAATGACTGCTGGGATAGGCTCTATTTCCCCCTGTGACCCTGAAGTTTTCCAAAGAACACAGGCTAATGATTAACAACAAGAATTACTCACAGGAATCTTATCTTCTTGAGAATTCACTGTTCCTGTCAGTTGCTGTAATTCAGAGGGAGATAGGGATCTGTGTTTTGGCTACACGGACAAGAAAAAGTTTTTATCTTTGCCAGTGTTTCAGTATTTGACCTGATAGCAATAGAACAATTATTCGTCTATCATTTTTGCTTTGCGTTGAAAACACTACTCGATTGGTGGACTGGATCCATAAAAGTGAGTACACCCCTCACATCTTTTCATGAGAGAACACAATAGAAATGAAACTTGGATATAACTTAAAGTAGTCAGGGTACAGCTTGTATAGCAGTATAGATTTACTGTACTCTGAAAATAACTCAACACACAGCCATTAATGTCTAAACAGCTGGCAACACAAGTGAGTACACCTCACAGTGAACATGTCCAAATTGTGCCCAATTGTGTCGCTGTCCCTCCCTGGTGTCATGTGACTCGTTAGAGTTACAAGGTTCCAGGTGTGAATGGGGAGCAGGGCTGTTAAATTTGGTGTTTTGGGTACAATTCGCTCATACTGGCCACTGGATATTCAACATGGCACCTCATGGCAAAGAACTCTCTGAGGATGTGAGAAATAGAATTGTTGCTCTCCACAAAGACGGCCTAGGCTATAAGAAGATTGCTAACAACTGAAACTGAGCTATAGCACGGTGACCAAGGTCATACAGCGGTTTCTCAGGAGAGGTTCCACTCGGAACAGGCCTCGCCAGGGTCAACCAAAGAAGTTGAGTCCACGTGTTCAGCGTCATGTCCAGAGCTTGGCTTAAAAAAGTGCATGAGTGCTGCCAGCATTGCTGCAGAGGTTGAAGAAGAGGGAGGTCAGCCTGTCAGTGCTCAGACCATACACTGCACGATGCATCAACTCGGTCTGCATGGCCGTCGTCTCAGAAGGAAGCCTCTTCTGAAGCTGACGCACGAGAAAGCCCACAAACAGTTTGCTGAAGACAAGCACTCCAAGAACATGGATTACTGGAACCATGTCCGCTGGTCTGATGAGACCAAAATGAACTTGTTTGGCTCAGATGGTGTCCAGCATGTATGGTGGCGCCCTGGTGAGGAGTACCAAGACAACTGTCTCTTGCCTACAGTCAAGCATGGTGGTGGTAGCATCATGGTCTGGAGCTGCATAAGTGCTGCCGGAACTGGGGAGCTGCGGTTCATTGAGGGAAACATGAATTCCACCATGTACTGTGACATTCTGAAGCAGAGCATGATCCCCTCCCTTCGGAAACTGCGCCACATGGCAGTTCTCCAACACAATAACGACCCCAAACACACCTCCAAGATGACAACTGCCTTGCTGAAGGTAAAGGTGATGGACGGGCCAAGTGTGTCTCCAGACCTAAACCCAATTGAGCACCTGTGGGGCATCCTCAAGCAGAAGGTGGAGGAGCGCAAGGTGTCTAACATCCACCAGCTCCGTGATGTCATCATGGAGGAGTGGAGGAGGATTCCAGTAGCAACCTGTGCAGCTCTGGTGAATTCCATGCCCAAGAGGGTTAAAGCAGTGCTAGATAATAATGGTGGTCACACAAAATATTGACATTCTGAGCACAATTTGCACATGTTCACTGTGAGGTGTACTCACTTGTGTTGCCAGCTGTTTAGACATTAATGGCTGTGTGTTGAGTTATTTTCAGAGGACAGTAAATCTATACTGCTATACAAGCTGTACACTGACTACTTTAAGTTTCATTTCTATAGTGTTCTCCCATGAAAATGTATAATAAAATTTTTGCAGAAATGTGAGGGATGTACTCACTTTTGTGAGATACTGTGTGTGTGTAAATATTTCTATATATACATATATGTGTATATACTGTAAAAGTGGCTTATCAGATTGACCTAAAAAAATACTTCATGTAATAACAAGCATTTGTACTCGTTTTATTCAATTTTTAGTAGTTTTATTCAAGGTGGAGGACAGAGAAAGAACAATAAACAACAGCAGCAGCCACGGAAATAAAATTTAAAAAAAAGAAGAAAAAAAAAAGAAAACTGAACCAAACATGGTTAAAAAAGTGTAAATACATATTTGACATTTAACATTCATACATAAGGCAACACAGCATTTATAGATGATAACTCCTGTTTACAAGGCCATTCTTTGATTTGTGTGTGGGTCTGTGTGTGTGTGTGTGTGTGTGTGTTTGTGTGTGTGTGTGTGTGTGTCTTTCCTTATCTATATTACGATAATATTATGAACTTGGGAACTGTTATTCTGTAATAAATACTGTCCTAAATTCAGTCCTACATGAAGGTGTCAGGATGACTAAACAGATAAGTCATCAGACGTTTTGTTATACAGCCCCCGGTCTAAAAGATAAAGGCAGGTGTAAAGATGATTTTATTGTGTCTTGCCTCTCAGTTGAGCCAGATAAGAGAGTGGGGATTCAGTCTTGAGACAAAGGCATGAATGAGTTTCTGTAGTGGAGACAATGTTACAGACTTTAGAGATACTATAAAAATGATCACATTCTGTTTTCAGGCCTTTCACTGTCTTGATAGGATATTGTGCCTAAGAATGGTGCCCAGATGTGTTCCGGAAGCATTGCAGCACCATGGAGAACACAGAACTGCAAGGATTAGATTTGTGAGTGCTGGTTTTAGAATTGAGGTTAACGGGCTGTACCAGTTTTCCAAAGAACACAGAATAATGATTAACAACAAGATATAGTCGCAGGACTCTTCTTGAGAATTCACTGTTCCTGTCAGTTGCTGTAATTCAGGGGGAGATAGGGATCTGTGTTTTGGCTACACAGACCCCCCCAAACTCCCCCCTTCGGCCCCACCTGTCCACCCGCTTGTCTCAGCACCAAAGTTACTGTAGGCTTATAGACAATCTAAAAGGACACATCTTAATCAGTGGGAAACACTGTCTGGATAATAGACACATCTTAATCAACATATATATCTCTTTCCCCTTGCTTACTTTTTTCCATTCTTTATGCTTGTGTGGTGTTGCCCCCTAGTGGACGGGGCCCAAAGCTTATTGGGTTAATGCTGCCTTGCCAAAAGGTTTCTAGTCTGCCTATGACTCCCGTCCAATTAAATCATTCTCTCTACCTGTCTGTGCCCGTCTAGATGCTTTAGTGTATATTCATTATATCACTTTCACATCACTGTCATTCTGTAGTCCAGAATGTGTGACACGGATGTAGCAAAAAAATATTCACACTCATTCAAAGCATAATCATGAGCTTAAGCAATTTTATTAATTGGCCCTAAAGCTGTCCAACATAATAACCAGGACAATGCAAGTCTGGGTACTTTACATGGTAAAAATCAGCATATTGTACGGCAAACTGCTAGAGTCACCCTGGAGGAAGAATTTTTCTGTTTTCCACTATCCTGTGGACATTTGGCCTCTACAAAAAACTGGACACAAACACAAACATCATTTCAGGCACTTAAAGCTGCTTGTAAGTGAACCTTGAATGTTGCACCTCAACTTTGCAGAAACTATAAATGCATAGTCTGAACATGGAGACAGTTTGGCACCACATCGACTTGTAGACTGAAAAATACAACTGTGCATAATTGCTATGAACTATTAACATTTTAAAGCTTCTGTGCTCTATTTGTTTGACTTCCTTTGTAAAACTTTTAATTTAGGATGCATGATCATGAATTTTTATATCCGTTTCTGATTTACAGCCAAACTGGCTGTAAACAGCATTTTTGCATAGGTAAATGAACCCATGAAGCACACTATTACAATTACATTACTTTCCAAAATCACAATGATTTTTTACTTTTTAATGGGCTAAACTGCCACTTTGAATAGATTGTATTGTCAAAGGCAAAACGTTGCCTATTTAAATAACATTAAAAAAGCTGCTATATCAAAATAAAGCACAGATCAGCCAAAATATGACTGATAAATTGGCTATTTCCAATTGCACATCATCACTGTTTGTTATTTCTTATGCTGAACATATTCTAAAAGGCGTTCACTAATCTGCTTTCCTGTACTGTGGAAAATATCACTATCTGTAATAGACAGATAGACAGGTTGGTCAATAGACAGACTGTTTGTTTACACTGTGAGTGATTCTGTTCTGTGTGTAACTCATGGCTCCTACATTTTGATGCTGCTGTTTGGGGGGGTCTGAGTGTGAGGCCCTGTGATGACACCAGGGTACTCGTCCTCAAGCATGTCATCCACAGCCTGAAGGATGCTGCTGACTACACTCAGGAGCAAGATGTCAGTGTTGAGGTCCACTGACAGCTGGGAAATGTAGTTCTTCACTGGCAGCAAATAGGACAACGGCAGCCCCACCAGCTCTGCTGCCTTCTGCATCTGTAGGGGTGTTAACATACACATTAATATTCATCATTTTTCATGCAAGGGTTGCCAGATGTGTGCTATGAGTTAAACATTTTGATTTTATGCTACAAGAAATATTTATCACACCAGACACACAGATATAAATTAAAACGGTTTCCAGCCAAGAGACAACTCCTGTGCTGTATGTGAGACCATTTACTCTTGAGTTTATTTAATACTGTCTGAAAATTATTTATTTATGATTTCTCCAGGCACTTGATCTCTAAAAAAACATACAGATTTTTGGGTGGTGAAAAGTGAAAAAAGCAAAATGATTGCATTACTTTTTTGTACTTCTGTACCTGAAAATATATTATACATATAAAATTAATAGAACCAACTAACTAAAACAAACTGGAACTAAAGCTATGATGGTGATAAAATGCTAATCCTTATTTGTTACACCCTTTAGCGTCTACCTGATTTGTGAAAGCTGTACATGAATGAGACGCTATAATCGTGGCGCACAAACAGCTGAACAACTGGGCTTCAGCCAGACTATTGAGACACCGTTACTGCCTACCCATCTTTAAAATGAGCTATTTTTAGGAACTACAACTACACAGCTAACAATCACAGTGAGTGAGGGCTGTTTCAGGACAGATTTGTTACATGACTGGACCAGATTAATTTTTCATTCCATATCCTATCCGGCATTTTCTGATATTGATATTAGCCTGAAATTGATACCTGTTATTGGATGTGTGTCATCTCTAATTTAAACGCATACAATCCATGATCTTTTGCTTACAACACTACTCTAGAAGTTTAACTGGTTTAGTACCTCCTCCTGCACAGCTCGGCTGGAGTAGACAGACATCATATTCTCCTTCACTGCACAGCACACCAGGTCCACATGTGTCAGCAAAATCAGCTGAGGGATACCTGTGGAGTATGACAGAGTTCAGAACATGTGAAATCAAAATACATCATGTTATCTTAAAACTGGATGCTGATTTAGCATTTGAGACCTAAACTTTGAGCTGGATCTTCTTTTTGAGCCTGTGTGTGTGATGTTAACACGTAAAAACATGTGACATGGTCTGAAAAACCTGTGTCCAACCCAACATGTCTTAAATGATTATTTAAAGCCTTTTTACAGGTCGACTTGTAGCAGCGCACACCCACCATATTTTAGCCTGTTAGCTACTTCTTTCAGTTTTAATAAAACTAACTTACATAGTGTAGCTTTACCATATAAAAACAGAGGCAGCAGCACTGAGAAAACACATTTTTAAAAGGAGAAGAGTAGATTAAATAGCCAGAATGGCTGCCTTTTGCTTTTGCATTAAAAGGTCAATGGATAGTTTTGTTATTTTCCTCAGTCAACTTTCAGAAGCACATGTACCGAATAAACTCTCTTACCCAGGTTCGACACAGTGGTGTGGAGCTTTCTGAGGGAGGTTCGCAGACTGCTGGAGTAGGACGTCACTTTAGAGGCATCGAGCACAAACAGAACACAGTGGATCTGGTCCGTCAAGGCGGGAGCTGCTCTACAGCCACTGACCTTATTATTGATGGGGAAATCACTCTGGAACTGGAGGAACACAACAAAGCGAAGGGGCAGATGGACAAAAAAATGGTGGAACCCTTCAATTTCCAGGCTTATTATACCCTCAAGCTTAATATTCAGTGTGACAGACACAGACAGACACACACTCAATGTGTGTGAGTGTGTGTCTGTCTGTGTGTGTGCGTGAGTGTGTGTATGTGTGAGTGTGTTTGTGTGTGTGTGTGTGTGTGTGTGAGTGTGTGTGTGTGAGTGTGTGTGTATGTGTGTGTGTGTGTGAGTGTGTGTGTATGTGTGAGTGTGTGTGTATGTGTGTGTGTGAGTGTTTGAGTGTGTGTGTGTGTGTGAGTGTGTGTATGTGTGAGTGTTTGAGTGGGTGTGTGTGTGTGTGTGTGTGTGTGTGTGTGTGTGTGAGTGTGTGCGTGTGTGAGTGTGTGTGTGTGAGTGTGTGTGTGTGTGAGTGTGTGTGTGTGAGTGTGTGTGTGTGTGAGTGTGTGTATGTGTGTATGTGTGTGTGTGTGTGTATTGTGTACATACACTGTAGAAAATCTTCTCTGGTTTTTGGCTCTGAGGGTAAAATCATCTGAACTGCTGCAACTGTGGAGACACACAAGCACAATGATCATCAGACTGAATGAAGGAGACTGAAATACTTCATCCAGATAGAAAGAAGCAGAGAACAGATTCACAGCACATAATTAAAGTGAGATAATTTGAGAAGAGAGAGAAACTAAGTGTCTGTCTGTCTTTTATGGCAGTGGTTCTCAATCCAGTCCTCAGGGCTCCCCAGACATTTGACCATCAAGAGGAGCCCTGATGTCTGGTTTAAGAACCACTGACTTATGGCAATCTGAAGAAAAGAAACAAACTCATTTTCACATTTTCTGCTATCAAAAATGCAAATAACATATTTACTGTGTAGCTCAGGAAATATTATTGCTTTCTGTTGCTGATCATGTAAAGATTTTCACTAAACTATCACTAATGAAGTAAAGATGTTCATCATTCTGATTCACAGCAGGAAGCTCCTCTTACCCTGTGGAGAGATTTTACTGAATTCACAACCTGTTTCACCTCCTGCAGCTTTTTCTCTTTCTCCTGGAGTCTCTGCTGGAATTTCCTCTGCATCTCCTTCAGCTGATTCTGAGGAGAAAGAATTTGTATTCTGGTTTATATTAATAGCAGCTGAAGAGTTAAAGTTCACTCTAGTTCTACATGTGAGCAGCATAAAGCTGTGAGTATGCTGGAAGACATGCGTTGGCTGGTCAAAGGTTTGCTGACTAGCTTGACTTGTTGTTAACAGTAAGTAACGTCAGGTTTATTTACCACTTACCTACCAAAATTATAAACTGACCATCTGTATAATTGTGTAATTAAGTAAAGTATCAGATTCTTAATTAGAAATACAATCAGCTTGAAGTGAGTCTAAAAGTTTTTTTTACTTCTCACCTGTTTGTCTTTTTCTTTCTGCTACAGCTGCAACTGTACTGTGTCCCATGTGTTCATCCATCGTACACAAATAGCAGACAAACTGTTGGTCAGTGCGACAGTAGATCTCGATCAGTTTATCATGTTGAGAGCAGATCTTCTCTTGTTTTAAAGAGGCTGTAACCAGCTTGTGTTTGATCAAGGTTGGAATTTCCAGATGAGGTTTAAGATGAGCTTCACAAAGAGACGCTACACACACCAAACAGGACTTGATGGCTTTGCGTTTTCTCCCAGTGCAGAAATCACACTCCACATCTCCAGGTCCAGCGTAACAGAGAGCAGGAGGAGCAGCTTGGAGTTCTGTCTTCTTCAGTTTCTCCACCACTTCAGCTATAACATTATTTCTGCGTAGAACAGGCCTTGGAGTGAAGGTCTCTCTGCACTGGGGGCAGCTGTAGACCCCCCTCTGATCCTCCTGATCCCAGCAGCCATTAATACACACCATACAGAAACTGTGTCCACAGGGAATAGACACTGGATCCTTCAGCAGAGCCAGACAGACTGGACAGCTGAACTGGTCCTGATCTACTGAAATACTGGCCTCTGCCATTTTCCTGCACTCACAGTCGGAGAGAGAGAGCAGCTCTCTGAGATCAGTTTCGTTTCCTCTGAACTGAGTAGGAGTGGCTTCCTGGTTCTGTGTTTGGTAAAGTGTCTTAGAGAAAAGGGCTGGAGAGAGAGAAATGAGGAGACTGAAGAAGAGACAGACAGAGACAAAATCCTTTAGTTAAATTTTCATAGAAAACGTGGAGTAGAAGCGTTTAAAGTAGTAGATTAAATTGACTCCAATTTGTAGGAGTAATACAGTCTCTACTCATCAGATCTACACATTGTAACTGCAGCATTTCCACAAGAAATGATCTGTACTGCAATTTTGTACCAGCATTTAAAAAAAAAACTTGTTTTTAATTTTATTTTAATTTATTTAGTATTTTATCATTTTAAAGTTTTTTTTTTCTTTAAATATCAGCACTTTAATCTGAGCAGAACTGTGTGTGATTTTGTGAGAGATTCTGTTGAAGTGAACTATCAGATTATCAGTCATGTAGTCTTACAGTTACAGCCACCACAGACAGTCTGAACAGCCGTTAAGCTATTTGAGTTTAATTCACTTAAAGACCAAAATAACACAGAAATGGAGGAAAAAACAACCAAACATTTAAAGACTTTATGGAGTGAGAACCTGAAATGATAACAGAGCAGTAATTAATGTAGTAATTCAACATTAACTATGAATCTCAGAACATAAATAAAACTTGGTGGATCAGACACAGCAGTCCACTCACTGTCCACTCTATTAGACACTCGTACCTTGTCAGTCCACCTTGTAGATGTAAAGTCAGAGACAATAGCTCATCTGCTGCTGCACAGTTTGTGTTGGTCATCCTGTAGTCCTTCATCAGTGGTCATAGGACGCTGTTGGCTGGATACAAGCAGGTGGTCATAATGTTATGCCTGATCGCTGTATTCCGGTAACTCCTCCCTAGAATAAACCATTACTAACATGGGTTAAAACAAGAATACTGACTATTCATATAATTTACATTTTATATAATTACATTTGTATATTTATAAAGTAATTATATCAGATAATCTCCTACCACTGTTCATGTTCACAGTCATGATGTCATTAGCATTCTTTTACAGCTACATTGCACACTTATTAACACAATTTTCTCTTCTACAGGTTGTGTTTCTACCTCACCTTCTACAGAGGATGGACTCATCCAGGTAAGTAAAAGTTCTTAGAGATGAGGATGGTCAGTCCACGGGTAAGTATAGATAAGTATATACAACAATCTTTACTTGTGATGTGTAAGGAGTACCTTACATGATCACACCAAGGCATCAGTCGATGGTTCTACCTGCTGATGTAACTTTATTAATACTAGGTACTAGTAGTAAGCCAGCCGCTTTAAATAGCTGTGGCAGTTCATACTAAGAAATAAGTTCACTCAGGTACTGAGAGGCGAGGCGTTTAGAGCTTTATGTATCAGTAGAAGAATTTTGTACTCAGTGTGGAATTTAGCTGCAATTGAATTGAATCAAGAACGAAAACTGTAAAAACCTTGTTACAAGTAACAAACTGTAAAAAATCTTATCTTGTCAGCCAACTGTGTTTTGCACACAGATGAATTACACATCTGCATTCAACTCATCCGTGCAGTGAAACACCCACATACATGTTTGCTAGTGAACATACATACTAGGAGGGAGTGAGCATACTTGCAGTGGGCAGCCCTATCCACGGCACCCTGGGAGCAGTTGGGGGTTAGATGCCTTGCGCAAGGGCACTTCAGTCATGTACTGTCGGCCAAGGGGATCAAACTGGTGACCTTCCCTCTGGTTCACTAACCTCCAGCCCACGACTGCCCCAGTAGATTGGGAACCAATGTAGGACTGATATGGTCAAACCTCCTAGTTCTTCAAAGGACTTACTAAAAGCTTGTTCAGGCGTTTGCTGGACATCATTAGTCCAACCTCGAGATTATAAATGTGTGAACTAGCATCCTGTAAACTGTGCATCACTTAATTTGGCAATATTGTGAAGATGAAGGAAAGTTATTCTAGTAATATTGCTTATATGCGTATCGAAGGTCAGATAGGGATTGATCGTTACACAGATGTACCTGATGCAACTCAGAAGCTATGAAGTTTAAGCGTTTAATTAGAAAGTTTGTTTCTTGCAGCTTTTGAACCAAAAAGAAGAACCTCTGTTTTGTCTGAGTTGAGTAGGAGGGAGTTACTCAACATCCAGTCTTTGATGTCTTTATACAGTCCTCAATTACACTGAAATGTATCATTTGGTTTGGCTGATATATTCAGTTGTGTGACATCATCAAAGCAGTTGAAATTTATGAACCAGAAGTCTGAGGAGTTAATGCCTCTAAAAGCTCCCTTACAGAAAATGATTGCATAAAGTAATTAGAAATTACTGCCTGGTGCTCACAACACTGTTTTACATTTGTTTTGAGAAGATTTTGGACTAAAACATAGATTTTAAACCCATTCATGACGGAGAGGTGCATGAATGGCTTTGTAGGGCAAATAGTCCCCATTTTTTTTTAACCACGTACATTACATATAAAAACTCATGTGGAGGTCCACTGGATAGTAAATGAAATGCATATATTTTATTTGTGGTGTAGGCGTTGTGACCCCTGGTTCCTATCACCACCACTGTAAAGAAAGAAAGAGTCTGTAAGATTCTCTACAGTGAACCATTTCACATCCAACTGCTCTGAATGACTTGTTTACATCTCAACCATTGAATAATAAAGACAAAGAAAAATCTCTAGAATTGAAATAAAAAACTTCATTAAGGTCAGCTTTGTTTTCTGATGAATTTATTGTCGACGTGCAACAGAACACATTAATATTTTCACTTGCTGTTTCACTGGGTATAAACAGGAGGTGACACACAGGCCACATTCTCTGTTATCCATCACGATGAGAAAGAAACAGCAATGATACACGACATCAGGCACAAATCAGGAAATGGCTACAAGAAAATAGTTAAACAGTTGAAATTGCCTATTTCTGCTATCCAAGCAACAATTAAGAAGCTTAAAGCAACTGGAGACAGAGATCTAGGAAGAGGATGTATGTCTATATTGACCCCATGCACATAGTGGAGAACGGTTTGAGTGGCCTTTTCTTCCAAAGGCCCTGGACAACTTGTTTAGGTATGTGGTATCATGTGTCAACAAGTGCCAACAGATAGTAAATCAATACCTTACTGCCTCAGCCAGGAAGCTGAAATTGCATTTGGATTGGAATTTCCAGCAAAACATTGATCCCAAAATCAGCACAAACATGGTTCACTGACCACAGATTCAAGGTTTTACCATGACCATCCCAGTTTTCTGACCTAAACCCCACAGAAAACCTGTGGAATGAGCTAAAGAGGAGAGTCTCCAAGCATGGATCTCAGAATCTGAAGGATCAGGAGAGGTTCTGTATGGAGGAATGATCCAGTTCTCCAGTCTCATTAAGCATAATAGGAAAACATTCAGAGCTGTTATCTTTGCAAAGGAAAGCTAGACAAAGCGCTAAATGAAGGAGTCTAACAATTGTGGCTCACACAAATTTGAGAAAATGATTTATTTCTTGATAAGTTTTTTTCTTGCACTTCACATGCAGGTTAGCTTTCATAGTTTAAATGAAAGATCAAAAGAAGAAGCAATATAGAATTTTTCATAGCCTGCTTTGCTCATGTTTAGTGGGCTGCCATTATTAAGGCACTGCACAATAAACAGACAGGTGTGTTTAGGGCCTACAGAGGAGAAACACATGGTCAAATCAAAGACCCTCACTCTAAATGGCAACACTGTTATCAACATTTCGTGGATTCATGTATATGTACGGCAGGACAAGCTTCTTGTTCCTGGTATCGATTTTCATCTCAAGATCTTTCAGAGCACTTTTAAACTGTGCTATCAGTTTCAGCGGCGTCTCCTCGCTGAACAGCTCCTCGGGGTAATGTCCAAGCGGATACTGTGAAAGTGCAACAGGACAATGTTAACGGTTCATTTTGCACTAATGAACAGATGAAGTGCATTTGATTAGGCAAATTCTGAAACAGGCCATTGACCTAAAGCACTCATGATAAGGATCTTTCCATTTTACAAAGCCATTCTAAGACAATGACATAGAGAGGAAAGCTGCTTGTGGTCAGAAGTGTGTTTTCACTTTTTCCGTTCCTTTATTTTACAGTCATTCATGTCCTTTGGTGCTGTTTGTGCATTGTAGTGGAGCATATGGACTCACCCGATCAGCGGACTCCTGGCTCAGCAAGAACACAATAGCAATGGTGTTGATCGTGGTGCTGATGTCAGGTAAGGTCGCAAAAACAGAGTCCCTCGTGGTTTCTCCTTTTTGATGTGGTGGTGGACATCGGAGAGAGCTTGGAAAGTTGGGCATAAATCCCCCGAATTCAAACTGAGAGGGCAGAGTGAGTGAAGGGTCAAGCATAGTTGTTTACATTAGTACATTAGATGTAAATTCAGGCAAAATATTTCAAAACCTGGCCATTGTTGACTGCGGAATGTTGGCCAGACATGGTGAAGATCACCATGGTGACAAACTTAGCCAGCTCTTTGACGTTGCAGAAAGACTTGGGAAATCCTAAAAGTGAGGTGAGTGGAAAGGTTTTAGGTAGGATTTGTAGCTTTAGGTAGAAAACAAACAAAAACACAAACCAAAAAAATAAAACATACCAGCTTCACTGTGTTCCAGGAAGCCGTTTTCTCTTATCTCAGTGAGCCATGAGTGCAGCTCGTTGTCTTCCTTGACATCTTGATCGCTGTAGTAATGCGACACAAATCCAGACACAAACCTAGCGGATAAAAATGTTCAGACATTATTTTATTATTAAATTGATGACACACATTTGTGGCAACATTTTAAAAAGGGGTTATGCAGCTAAACTGACAGAGCCTACAAAGTCTGACACTGTTTATGGGGGGAATCATGGATTTAGTGTGAAGAACACACTAATCAAGAATGTTATGGCTGAAATAATAATGAAAAATATTCGATCACAACCTTTGTGCTGGTGGCAGCAGCCAATTTAGGAAGTTTTCTACTAAGAACTTCCATGCAAATGAACACAGAGAGAACTTCATAACTGACATATGACCAGTGTAGCTGGTTCATATGCTTTTTGTATGAAAATTGCTTAAAAAGGACATTTTATTAAACTGCATCAAGACTCTTTTCTGGCTTTCCTGGATCTCAAGTAGGGGAGCAAACTTCCACTGGCTGTCCGAACAGCAGACTCCCTTGCCATGTTCTAACGCAGACTGAGGATCCACCACTTGGTAAAGCAAGTAAATTAACATCTATGGAAATGTCATGTGTTGCGCTTATGTTATATTCTACTTCAGAGTATCTGACAGGCTTGAAGACTGTAAATAGGGGACTTTTAATTTGACGGTAGCGCCTCTAAGGCCACCATTATCAGGATATAGTCTTGTGTTAAGTATTGTTTGGTCTTGTTGGTGTCTATCGGTAGCACATGGAGGTCAGCAGGGCAAGGAGCGAGCAAGGAGCTCCGCCGCCTGGGCCCCGCCCCCTGTTACACAGCGAGGCCGCTCCATTACACCGCACGTTCGACCCGGGCGGCTGAGCTGCAAGCTGGGGGCGGTGACGGGGTGGGCGGAGCAGCGAGCTCTCGTTCCCTCTCGGCTCAGGTGCTGAGCCTTTTAAAAAGAACATGAGAGGGAACAGAGAGAGAGAGGGACGAGCAGCAGCAGCAGCAGCAAGAGGCTGAGGAGCTGAAAAGCTTATTTTGAAGAAGACTGAAAAGTCTAGCTGATGAAGCCACTGAAAAGTGGCCAGTCTAGGTTTTGGTGTTTTGTATTGTTTGTCTGAATTAAAGTAATGGCTGCTGCAACCCTGAACCCTGCCTCCAGCGTCCTCCTTGAGCCTGGGGTAGCACATGCGGTGCTACAGTGGTGCCGAAACCCGGGAGGAGGACACCAACGCACCGAGGGGGTCTCCACGGCAGAAGAGGAGGCCGTCAAGACTCTGGTACACCTGCACCTGGCCGGCTGGCGGGAGCTGCAGGCTGTCTTCCAGGACGCTGAAAAGCACTGGAAGCAGCTTGAGGAGCAGCAGGTGGAGACCCGTCAGATGGTCAGGAGCCTGCTGGCGGAGCGGCAACCCTCGGTGTGCATGGAGGCAGGAGCCCCCCTCTCACCACCCCTCGAGCCTTCAGTCCCAGCTCCCAGGAGGACTGGAGCCCTTCTCCCCCCTCCCCTTCCTGCTCCGAGGGCGCCTGGAGCCCGGCTTCTCTCCCCTCCTGTCCCTGCTCCGAGAGCGGTCGGAGCACACATTCCTACCCTTCCCGTCCCCGCTCCAAGTAGGTTCGGAGCGGCCCTTCTCTCCCCTCCCATACCCGCTCAGAGAGAACTCGGGGCTCATTTCCCTTCCCCTCCCCTCACTGCCGCCGAAGATGTCGCCGAGGCTCTGCCTGCCGCCGAAGACGTCACCGAGGCCCCGCCTGCCGCTGAAGACGTCACCGAGGCCCCGCCTGCCAACAAAGTCAGTGCAACCCTGGCTTCTCCCACCCTCCCGCCCTTCGCTGGGTCCTTCCCCGGGGGCGTGCGATGGCTCAGGCCGGGTTCATGGCCTGAGTTGGGTGGTGGGGGTATGTGGCATGCGCCTGCCCCCCGGGCCCCGACGATGACGGCCGCGAGAGCCGGCAGGAAGGTGGGGCCTGAACACCCAGCGGCGTGTTGACTAAAGCCACTGAAAAGTGGCCAGCCTAGGTTTTGGTATTTTGTATTGTTTGTCTGAATTAAAGTAATGGCTGCTGCAACCCTGAACCCTGCCTCCAGCGTCCTCCTTGAGCACATGCTCGATTCTCGATTCTGTGGGTGGTGGTGCATGGCCGTTCTTAGTTGGTGGAGCGATTTGTCTGCTTAATTCCGATAACGAATGAGACTCCCTCATGCTAAATAGTTACGCGGCCCCCCGCGGTCGGCGCTCCCCCCAGCTTCTTAGAGGGATAAGCGGCTTTCAGCCGCACAGGATGGAGCAATAACAGGTCTGTGATGCCCTTAGATGTCCGGGGCCGCACGCGCGCCACACTGGGTGGATCAGCGGGTCGCTCGCCTCCGCCGACAGGCGCGGGTAATCCGCGGAACCCCGTTCGTGATTGGGATTGGGGATTGCAATTCTTCCCCATCAACGAGGAATTCCCAGTAAGCGCGAGTCATAAGCTCGCATTGATTAAGTCCCTGCGCTTTGTACACACCGCCTGTCACTACTACCGATTGGATGGTTTAGTGAGGTCCTCGGATCGGCCGTGGTCGGGGCACCCTCACCCCGGGGGGGCCTCGGCCTAGCGCCGAGAAGTCGATCGAACTTGACTATCTAGAGGAAGTAAAAGTTGTAACAAGGTTACCGGGGTAGCACATGCGGTGCTACAATGATATTATGGCTTGTTCAAGAGAAAAGATGTGATGCTGGGGGAAGTGTGGTGTAATTGCATAGCACTTTAAATGTGAGTCTTCTGCAGCCAGTTGCACCAGCTGAACATTAGATCAATCATAAGATGGGGTGTAAAGTCCATCCTAAACCTTCTGTTGAAAGCAGATAGTTTAAAACTAGTGACATACAAAATTTCTGTTGCACCACAGACACTTAGGGTATATATCGCTGTTGTCAGAGGAAAACCTCATATCTCCAAAATGGTAACTTTACAGGCGAAGGAAAAAACCTACTTTACTTTTAATGTAAGTCAGTGGAACCAGACTTCAGTGATATCAGAGGGGGGGAAAGTTCAGCAACGTCACTTCTGGGTTTTAGTTAAATTTAGGGCATCACATGCTTTCAAAGAGGGGGGTATAGGGCAATTATTAATTTATTATAATTCTTTGGTGATACGAAGCTGAAGTCAGCTATTCACCAGCTTCTTGTTCGAATTTTCCCGTTCTGCCTTAAATGAAGCAGCAATTACATTCTGGTGCTTCAGGCATCAACACTGCTGGACTATTTAAGGTAGAACAGGAAAGTTAGCTAGATAGCTACTGAGATATTAGCATGCTATTAGCGTTTTTTTTTATTTTTTTTATGCATGTTATAAAGAAAACGACCATAATACATTTAAACGACATTAAACTAAAACAATGGTTATCGTAATTTTTTAACGGAGAAAATTCTCACATTTTTGGGTTTCTTTGGTCGCTTGTTCAGCCATCTTGCCAAACTTTTTTTCTCTGTTTCTTTACACTCTGTTTGGAGTATCTCTCTGAAAAACCCTACCCCTCTATCCCAACAAAAATTGGGACACCCTACTCTAGACGTGAACGCACAAAACAGAGGGCTAAGGGCTAAGTGGTAGGGGCAAGGGGTGAAAAGAGATTGGGCCTCAGTCTGGATAAGAACATCTGCTAAATGCTGTAAATGAAAACTTCAAATGTTTCAGAGTGAAACTGTGACTCACTAGTTTGAAATAAAGACTTATTTTCTCCAGATTTTGACTTTGCATAAGAGAGCAGAGAGCGCCCCCTGGACTATTTTATGCGCCAAACCATTGCGCCTACTTAGTAAGTCTTGACAGCCACGTTTTTGCAGCAAACTGTAAACTGCAAAGGTGCAAAATGTTAGTAAATCTGCCAAACCTTTTTCTTGTTTACTTACTTGTAAACAATGTCCCACAGCTCCAGACCATCATCTCTGTAGTAGCAATTGGGAATCGTCTCCAATCCCCTCTCCTTGATATTATCTGGCATACAGAGGGAGCTGTACGTCATAGAAGAGGCTGCTCTTTTCAGGAAGGTGGTCATAGACTCGTTTCCAATGGCAGTGAACTACATGAGGAAAAACACAACTTAATTTCGCTTAAAAGAAACTCCCCAGAATTTGCTGATATCAAGTTCTATATAGGTGTGTTCACCTGAGGGAAGTATCCAATCTCTGAGATCAGCAGATTCCTGGCCATGATGTTGATCTGGAGATTGTAGCGAGTGTGAGGTATCAGGAGCTGGAAGAGGAAGAGTGATAAAGCACTATTACCTTATGCTAACCACTAACTTCTAACTCCAACTGACCAACTTCCTCAACTGTCTCATCCGTAGGGTGTTTTTATCTTCTTGAATCTGTATGTAGACCTAATTAACAGTATTTGGGTCAAAACTGCCATAAAATCGATGTAGTTATCCTATTATGTGAAAAGGTCATGTTTGGCAAATAAAATTACAAGAAAAATCGCAAGGTGAAAATTCTACTGCAAATATTGACAAATTGGGTTCATGGGGTCACAATAGACTTAATAATAACATTCTTGGTGGGATTAAAGTCTCCTCCCTTTGAATTTGTAGCTGTCTGATTAAAGCCGGCCATTTGATCCATTGTTCATTACTAAAATAAGACCAGAATAAACTAGAGAAAAACATATATTTGTGCTACTGTCATGTTTAAACAGAGCAACAGCAACATAATGGCCTATCACCTGTCATGGTTGCAGTGGCCTTTATATTGTAGTGCAATTTGCTGATCTTTGTTCATTCTTTCTTTCACATTTAAACTAGTTTGATAAATACTTTTAACAGAAATTCCCTAAAGCTGTAACTCTAACATCGCATCCCACAACTCGGAAATACAGCACTAAAACACAGCCAGATCACTGTACAAGTTAGCTACTAGCTCTCTGCTTTAGCCTGGCAACAAAAGGGTTAAACATAGAATTATTGCAGCACTTGTTTACACCAATGTGCAGATAAAATACATCCGCTTTCATACTGGATTTTCATGTTCACATATTATTAGCATTACTGCTAACTTTCTATTTTTATTCTTATTAATGTTAACAAAAATTAGACCTTTTTCCTGTCTGGTAAACATTTACACTCAGTCCTACCAGATGTGTATTTAATCATACAAATACGCCAAAATGAAACAAAACAAATGTTTGCATTCATTTCACAGTCCGATTTGACTGTACACAACTGATGAATGCGAGCAAATGAGAGGAAACTCACAGTTGGTGCTAACTAGGCCTTGTGTTAGCAATGCTAACAAGACAGCTAACTTAGCCCACTGTCCATGCATGATGTGCACATTTCTAATGTACTGCTGTTTTTGCTGAGTGTACCAGTTTGATAAATCCATGCTATAGTTGTATCCCGGCTGAGCTGACAGTGAGATACTGGTTAAAAACAAGGACGCAGTGTTAGGCTGTGTAATGTTGGAGGAAAGAGGTCACCTTGAAACAGGGGATGACATGAAGGCAAGCTGCGCAACGTTGCCACAGTGAAGACCTCGCCCATCAGATGAGTGCGCAGCAGATGGAAGTTCAGCTCGTGTTCATTAAACTCTGCATTTCTCACAAAGATCTTAGCCAACAACCAATCATTCTCAGAGTCGGAGGGCAGAAAGATAGGATTCCCTGGTCCAGGCTGCTGGTTCAACTAAATTGAAAAAATGTTATATATTAATCAAGAAAAAAGCATAGTGATCAAGCCAGCCATCAGCACTGTACAGTCTTTTAAAATGCAGAATATAACTTTTTTATACTTTATTTTTGTAAAATTATACATTAACATAATCAACAATGTCCTCTTTTCAAAATTTTACATTGTAGTGAGCTCAAGACATGTTTTTGACATGTTAGTGTAGGTTATGAGATCTTTTGCATTTTTTTCATGGGTTATTGTGATAAGGACTCTTATTTTGAAGGCGTAGCTAATTTTCACAGGGGGATATTTGTGTAAGAACTGAAGGTGCATTCTAATCACCCTCATAGTTTCCTGCAAAGTGTACTGCACAGGGTATTCAGACATTTTAAAGGTGATTTAAATATGTTACAAATACGTACAAATACAAATAGTATAAATATATTACCTGCATGTCTTTAAAGGTACAAAAGTCAGTTATTAAGTAGAACTATACAGAGTTAACCTAAGTGTGGGAAAGTGAATGTACACCACTGTTAGCTTGGCACTAACATGACACTGCAAATCACATAGAAATTGAATCCTGTAGCTAGCTGAAATTAGCATTATCATAGCTGTGGCATTCAGATACTACAAAGAAAAATATGCTTAAAATTTCCTAACTAAATCTGTTTTGTAATGACAATGATGGCAACAAAAACTAAATTGAATACCCCATGCTTTATTTCACATTGGTACCCGTGCAAGGTAAGCTAGAATGTGTTGCATTTACAATGATTCACATTTCAGATAGCATTAAATAATTGAAAATTAAAGATCATGTTATTTTTCCTGCTTCAAGAAAGTACTTTTGGTAGCTAGTTTTACAGTAAAGCTGATAATAAAAAAAATCAACATGAGATGCTGTATAATTTAAAATATAATTTAAAGTAACACACTGGCACGATCACATTATGTTATTATAGAAATTACAGAAAGTCTTACAATGTATAGCTGACCGCAGTGAAACCTATTCTACCCTATTTCAAGGCCAGAGAGGGTGGGCTCACCATGCCCCGCCATTCTTGTCTGACACCCCGCCCACCCCACACACCACCCTATCTGACACTAGACCTAGATAAAGTTGAACTAATGATGAGAAAATGGAAATTTGAAATAATGACTCAGTGAGTATGTTTACAGGCACCTAATGATCTGATCATTATCAGATTTCTGCAGTTATCTGATTATTCATATGGTCATGGAAACAGCATGCTATGATTTCTTAGATCGGAGTAAAGTCTAGAAATGTGACTAAGAAATCTGATAAAGAGAACAGTAATCAGATTTCTCAGTGCATGTGAGCTCTTACTCTGATTTCTTTCGGTTTTCTCAGTCTGCACATGTGTAAAAAAGACCACGGTACCGGAAATAAGTGAGCAGCGTTGCCACGAGACGCAGTGAAACACTTTTGGAGTGACACTAAAACGAAATACACATTTGACGAAATGAAAGATTTAAAATTCCTTCACATTCTAGATGATGTATGTTCATGTTTTCAGGATAAGCGGTGCAATGTTTAAAAAAAAAGCCACAGCATGGATTTTGAGTTAACATTACATTTATGTCTGGTTGCAAAGCAGAAATCTTTGAAGAAATGGCTGTCTGACTCATGTAGACCCAGAGTTTCCTCATAATCTGACTGCTCAAGTGCATGTGAACGCATTGATTTGATTACTGACAAAATCTGATTTTCTGCGGTTATCGGATATTTGAGTGCATGTAAACACACTCACTGTTTCCTGCTCTTACCTGGATGGCAATTGGCATCAGTTTGCCGTGAGTGCTGAAAAGCAGACAGAGAGGAGCTGCCAGATACTGCTTTTCCCTGGAGATCTCATTTCCCTCAAGGTCTTTCAGTCTTTCGTAGTCACAGAGAAAGACATTTCCCTTCTGATTGAATTAAGAAAAAAAAAAAAACTGATCAGTCAGGCACCAAAGAAAAAGAATGAATAACACAGAGAACTGTTACAAATCTGAGAGTGAAAATAGATGGTTTGAAACAGAAGTAATTGAAATATGAAAAAGGACAACTGAATGATGAAAATCATTACATATTCATGTACTGAAATTGAAAATACAGTTTGTTGGACTACGGCGGTGTCTCAATGCTGCCCTCTAATGAACTAAGACCCAAAAATCACAACTAAAATTGATAAGTGACTTGAAAAAAGCCCAGTCATTCGAGCATGGGCCCATGCGTAGCATAAGCCCCACCCCCTCCTTGCCCACTTTACTCTGATAGGATGCATCCTGATAGCCTTGTTGACCCATGGAAGGGACAGAGGGGTGTATTGGCAATACAGATTTAAATTTCAATGCACTGTTTCAAGTTAAATTTACAATACATACAATACACATCAATGCATATTGAATCACTGCCCTCAGTAAGAAAGGTATATTGAGCTGTATGAAAAAGGACATATTGGTCAAAAAGTGTCTCAACATTTTTTACCTTCATTTCTGATTCCAACGTGCTCTTGTCTGGTAAAAAACTTTTGACCATTTCATTGGTGACCGGGAATTTCTCAGGCAGCTTTGAGCAGCGCTTGATGATCATGGGATTCAGACCATTTAGAAATTGGTATCCAAAGAATTCATCTGTCATCCAGTTCTTCTCCACATATTCTGCAAAAAAAACAGCAAATGAAGAAATGAGATTCAGCACGGAGATACTATGAAAGCTGCACTATGTACGATTTGGGGACCTCTGTGGTGGAAGTGTGTAATTGCATGCAATGTGTGGAAGAAGATTTTGTACTGTGGGTTGTGCTTTGGACCCTTTCCTCATGTGGATGGATCTAATGATTGACAGTGTATTGTAATGCTACTTCTTTCAGTTTAAACAAATATTACATAGTGCAGCTTTGACGTATTGCAGCTTACCGTAAGTCTTCGGCTTCTTGGAGAGAATTCTACTGATATCTTCAAAGCTATCCCAGGTACCGTTTAAAGGATGCTCCAGTTTCAGCTTCATGAAACTAAGAAAAAGTATTTGGAGACATGAAATGAGAACCATCATTATGCAGACCTGGCAGAGAAATGATGGATTATTCGAGCACAGAACTTACGCTGCACTCGCGGTGAACAGGAATTCGTTGTCTTTGGTGAAAGAGAATCTGACCTCAGGTGGCAACTCATGTGAAAATGTAGCGAGCACAGTGTGAGGTAATCCCGGAGCATATAAACTCCACCTGTGAGACATAAATACTTGATACGTTAATGCATAGAACTGGATACTCTGAAGTGCATTGTGTTGTTACATGCTTTAACCAAGTTCAAGGAGAACATATCATAGACCTAAAATGTGAGACAGCGTATCAGTACTGTATGGAAATAAAACACAGCTGTTAAGGTCCCACTTTATATTGTGTCTCTAATATCTATGTAGTTACACATGAATACCATATGCAACAACATTGTAACTACTAATGATTTAGTAAATGTTACAGGTGGATTAAATAAGTACAGCCTATGTAATTACACATGTGTATTAACTTCAGTTTTACGTCGTGTAATTAAACAAGTGTATCTTCTACACTTAATAAAGGAGTGATAATATAGACGTTGCTTTAGGGGAAATGCAACACAATTAATTAATGTCTTAAAAGTTACATTTTAATATAAGGGGTCATCTGCTGTTCTGTCACATTACAGAATGGTTTAAAGCTGAAACTGGTTACAGTGTCACAGCATTAGCAACATAAATGCTAGCTAAATGTTAAGAAAGCTGGCAGATACAGTGTAAGTAATGTCTTAATGTAAGTTATTACATACTTCATTTTACTGCTGGAAACTGCTGTTCCGGTCTGATTACAAATGTAATTACATTTGTCTTATTACCCTTTGTGTAATTACATGAGAGAGAAATAGGCTGATACAATTATATGATACACTTGTGTAATTACATAAGGCAAAACAGAAGTTGATACACGTGTAATTATATCGGTAACACTTTCTTTGAAGGGTGTCTACATAACACATTCATATCACCTTACATAAACACTTCATAACATGTTCATGAATGCTTAAATCAACATTCATAAACTATACATGTTTTACATGACATTAATATGGACTACTATGTCATTTTACCGAAAGATGTTTTTCAAAATAAAAGTCCTCATTTTATTTATTCTTTTCAGTGAAACTCCTCATTTCTGGACTGTCAGCATAAAATGACCTGGCTTTATCCCTTTGGACAGAAGGTGTTTTGACACTTTTTGCCTAGACTTTCAACTTTTATTCTCAAGCATTTGTATTTTGCAATATGCTGTTCTTTCTGCTTTTTAAACTAATTATTCATATATAAAATGTACTGTTCATTTAACACTCTATACATTATTGTGGAAAACGTTACTTAAACTAAGTTTAACTTTCCTGGGGTAAATGCTAACACTGTTATCCCAATTGCTTTGGAGGTTTTATTTTTAGTGATGTTCTTCCTCACTTACGGTTTTGCACAAGTATAGCTGTGCATTAGTTATCCTGTGTAACTGAGGTTAAATGTGACAAGCACTGTTATCACAAGGAATGATTCCTTTTTTGGCATTACTTCAAAGTACAATTGAGTGGTGGCTCTTTGACTTTCCTCACTCAGGGTGCTGATCATTTTGTAAGAAATGTCCTTTATAAATTTGCCTTGCTTTGCCTTCACCATAAAAGTGATGGAAGTCACGTTATCCTCACTAAAGTGCATGTTACATGAATGGATGGATCTTGAATGGAATGGATAAGTATTATGGGCCTGTCCCACCACAACACACAGTTTGAGACTTTAAGTTGATTGACTGTTCATAGCATATTTATGAGTAATTCACTGTCCATATCGTAAAGTGACATGCAAGACAACATTCATAAGTGATTCATAGCATTTTAAGGAGCTGTTAATATACCATATAGTAAAGTGACATGCAAAGTAGCATTCATAAGTGATTCATAGCATTTTAAGGAGCTGTTAATATACCATATAGTAAAGTGACATGCAAAGCAACATTCATAAGTGATTCATAGCATTTTTAAGAGATGTTACAAACCATGTGTATATACAGTGATAGTGATTTACAATTAAATATCTACAATTATTTTCCCTACCTTTGCAGCAAGACCCAATGACTGTGGAAAGGAGTCAATAAACACCACAAGCAGGAAGGTCCTTTTTTATTGGCAAGACCAACAGGCACTTAAACATGCTGCTCAAACTCAAATCAGGAAACTACAAACTCTTCTGAAGATGGAACTGCAAAATACAGATGTGTTCAATAAAATCTTCAACTCTTTTCTAAAACAAAAAATAAACACACCACCTCATGTGGCCGTTAATTAAAGGGTACTGCCTTCACTTTGCTCCTTTTCTTCTTAGACTGAAATTATTTTAAATTCTCTGAAAAACAAAAGAAAATATGAAGAAAATAAACAAAACAGCACAAGTCACTGCAAGAGTCTGAAGATATCATGATACTGGCACTGCTGCTGGCTCTCTGTCCTCTCCTGGCTATAAAAAGACCTTACAGGAGCAGTCAGATGTGTGGAACTCTACACGTACAAGATAAGCCTATTTATACTGGAAGCGCATGAACGTTATGTTAGTGGGCTAGACAGACTGCCATAGCAGAGGTATGATATATAACTAGCAGTACAGCAGTTAAATTAGCTACTTCGCTTATGATCAGTAACTGTAGCCAAGAAACTTTGCTAACTAGCTAGCAGGCCAACGCTACCTTACATTAGATATTAAAATGCATCAAGCTAATGTTAACGTCACCTAATTAGTTAAGTTACATGATTCAGTTAAGCCCCAAAGATTAATAGACCTCATGCAGCTCTTGTTAACAGCATTCCTTTTTTTCGAACTTAAATAACTGATACTGCTTTAACTCAGCGCACTGTTCTGTGACCGAGCCAGTCGAGCTGAAGTAGTTAGTGGGCCTAAATGAGCATTACTTATGACGCACAGCAGCGATGCGGAGTGATACGTTAAACAAGTTAGTCCCAAACGCAAGGTGCACTTAAAACACTCGTTTACTGTTTGGCTAGTGAGGTGGTCTACACCAGGGGTCGGCGAAGTGTCAACAAAAATCATTTTACTATCCTGGCTGTAATATGTCTCAGTGTGTGCTAATGTGGTAGTATAGGCTAAAAGTATATAAACAAAAGACTTACTTTGCTCTGCTTTAACCTTTAGCTCAGCTATAGCTTTAGTTTAGCTTCAGTTGTAGCCGCATGTCTCGCATCTCCACCACAAAACTTTGCCGAAAAGTAAAATAATCTTGTAAAAAAGTGAAATAATTCTTGTAAAATGTCTCTCAAAGTTCGTTTTTTACGAGGCTGAAGTCGCTTCTCGTTTGAATTTACCCGTTCCACCTTAAATGGCGCCTGAGGTGCCAGAATGTTACTGCTGCAGCATTTAAGGTGGAACGGGTAAATTCGAAAAACAAGCTGGTGAACGAGGAGCTGATTTCAGCCTTGCGACTTTTCAGTATTTGATAGTTTCTCGTTACAGATTAAATATATCGGGAAACCAACTGGAGTGATAATGAATTCATATAAGTCCATTCGTATCCAAATTATCGATGTTTGTCTTAAATCTTTCCCTTCGCTTTTTTGATAGCTAACTTACTAACTAGCTAGCTGGGCAAGACTGTTGACTGTCATGGTGTGACCAGAAATGAGCAGCATGTTTAAGTGCCTGTTGGTCTTGCCAATAAAAAAGGACCTTCCTGCTTGTGGTGTTTATTGAGTCCTTTCCACAGTCATTGGGTCTTGCTGCAAAGGTAGGGAAAATAATTGTAGATATTTAATTGTAAATCACTATCACTGTTTATACACATGGTTTGTAAACATCTCTTAAAATGCTATGAATCACTTATGAATGTTGCTTTGCATGTCACTTTACTATATGGTATATTAACAGCTCCTTAAAATGCTATGAATCACTTATGAATGTTGCTTTGCATGTCACTTTACTATATGGTATATTAACAGCTCCTTAAAATGCTATGAATCACTTATGAATGTTGCTTTGCATGTCACTTTACTATATGGTATATTAACAGCTCCTTAAAATGCTATGAATCACTTATGAATGTTGCTTTGCATGCCACTTTACTATATGGTATATTAACAGCTCCTTAAAATGCTATGAATCACTTATGAATGTTGCTTTGCATGTCACTTTACTATATGGTTTATTAACAGCTCCTTAAAATGCTATGAATCACTTATGAATGTTGCTTTGTGTGTCACTTTAGCAATTGGGATAACAGTGTTAGCATTTACCCCAGGAAAGTTAAACTTAGTTTAAGTAACATTTTCCACAATAATGTATAGAGTGTTGAATGAACAGTACATTTTATATATGAATAATTAGCGTAAAAAGCAGAAAGAACAGCATATTGCAAAATACAAATGCTTGAGAATTTTTTTTTAAAAAGTTGAAAGTCTAGGCAAAAAGTGTCAAAACACCTTCTGTCCAAAGGGATAAAGCCAGGTCATTTATGCTGACAGTCCAGAAATGAGGAGTTTCACTGAAAAAAAATGGGGACTTTTGTTTTGAAAAACATCTTTCGGTAAAATGACATAGTAGTCCATATTAATGTCGTGTAAAACATGTATAGTTTATGAATGTTGATTTAAGCATTCATGAACATGTTATGAAGTGTTTATGTAAGGTGATATGAATGTGTTATGTAGACACCCTTCAAAGAAAGTGTTACCATTATATCTTTAACAGTGACTAAATCATTAGTAGTTACACTATTGTTGCATATGTTGTTCACATGTAACTACACAGTTATTAGAGATACTTAATAAAGCTGGACCCTTCTATCACCTCATCATTACCAGAGGGAAAAAAATTACTTGTACTTTGTTACTGTACTTAAGTATTACTTTGTTCACATATTACTGAAACTGAGCACTTGTACTTTTACCCAAATACATTTCTAAGAAAAAACTTTTTCTAAGCTGTTCATCCTTCTGGATTGTGGGAGCCTATCTCAGTGGTCATTGAGCAGAAGGCAGGAAAGACACTGGATAGATTGTCGGTCCATCACAGGGCAATTAATTTGGAGTTCCTGATTTTATTTATTTTTTTATTCCTCCCATAGCAACGCTAATTCATAGGTGCAAGGACCAGGTTTGCAGTGTGAGGGGATACAAATATTGGGAATATGTATTCAGAACACAGAAAAAAAGTATCTGAGTTCAGTGCAAGTTACATTTTGTAAAGACAGTATTCAGAATACAGTTACTTACCTAACTTAAATTTAAAAAAATATATGCCATCTTTAAAAGAAACTATTTTTTGGTCTCACTTTATTTGGATAGTCCACTATAGTATTATCCACAGATGCTCATATTGTTAACAAACTATCTGTTAAAACTGAGTAGATTCTAAACAGTGGTGGGGTTAGGGTTAAGATTTGGACCAGGAAAAGGGCTGGGTTTAGGTTTTGAGATGAGGTTAAGGTTAGGATTAAGATTAGAGCAGGTTTACAGTTAAAGAACATTATGATCAATTGCGTAGATATTTAGTTAAATGTAAATTGAAAGTAAAGTAAGTGTTCGCAAAGCATCTAGAGTGGACTATCCAAATAAATGTTACCCTATTTTTAAATCAGCGTGGCATGTAAGGACATACTGTAAAGAAGAACTCAATAAATGGCTTCTTTACAAACACTGAAGCTCCTGCTAAAGCCTGAGTAGACTGATAAATCAATGTGACCAGTCATTAAATCTCAGTGTTACTGAACTCTTGAGGCATGAACTCCCTTCTCAGTAGTGCTCATGTTCATAAGTGATGAGCTTAGCATTGTTATTGTATTGGACTCATATATGCATTACGTGGAAAGTTACATGGAAGTTATTAATAGAAAAAACCCACCTTATAGTCACATTAGCATTGTTATTGTGATGTGGCAAATAGTTGTCTTAGGTGAGGAAAGGGCAGTTGGATTACGGGAGCAGCAGTACACTGAGGCAGGCCATGAGAGCCAAAATAATGTTGACAATAATGCAATCATTTTTGTTTTATTTTGAATAAAGATTTTTTTATGAAACATATTAACAGAAGAATTAAGGAAGAATGAAGAAAACTGCCAACCAGTGACAGTGAGCAACAGTGCAAATTAAATAGTTATTCCCATGTACTCTAATGTACACAGATCAGGCGTAACATTATGACCACCTCCTTGTTTCTACACTCATTGTCCATTTTATCAGCTCCACTTACTATATAGGTGCACTTTGTAGTTCTACAGTTACAGACTGTAGTCCATCTGTTTCTCTGCATACTTTGTTAGCCCCCTTTTACCCTGTTCTTCAGTGGTCAGAACCCCCATGGACCCTCACAGAGCAGGTACTATTTGGGTGGTGGATCATTCTCAGCACTGCAGTAACACTGACGTGGTGGTGGTGTGTTAGTGTGTGTTGCGCTGGTCTGAGTGGATCAGACACAGCAGTGCTGCTGGAGTTTTTAAACACCTCAGAGTCACTGCTGGACTGAGAATAGTCCACCAACCAAAAATATCCAGCCAACAGTGTCCTGTGGGTCAGCGTCCTGTGACCACTGATGAAGGACTAGAGGATGACCAACACAAACTGTGCAGCAGCAGATGAGCTATCATCTCTGACTTTACATCTACAAGGTGGACTGACAAGGTAGGAGTGTCTAATAGAGTGGACAGTGAGTGGACACAGTGTTTAGAAAACTAAACACACTCCCTCTTGCGTTCTATTGCTTAAATGAATGCTGAGTATCGTAGTGAGAGAGCGCCAATGGACACAACAACGATTGAAAGTCATGAACTGTGTTAAACAATAATCAATCAACCTTTGATTATACAACAAAGTCTGAGCTGTAAAAACAGTATGTGCGTTTTACTGTAAGTGAGAATGTGAGTCAGTCAATATGATGTTCACTTACTTGAACTCTTGGCGCCGTTTCTTCAGGTTCTCGTGTCTGTGCGCCAGGAGTAGAGGAACCGTGTCCTTGGTTTTTAGCATGGCTACATGGGAAATGTAATTAAACGTATAATACTAAACATCAACAATATATGGATTTTTGCATATATGCAACATGTTTCCAGTGTTCATTAGTAAGGGTACATGTTCGAGGCTTAATGGCTACTTAAATGCTTAATAATTATGGCTTTGAAAAAAATCTGTAACATTTTATTGTAGGTGAATGTTCATAAGGCTACATGTCAACTGACATAAACATACATAAGTATTTATAAAGGCTTATTGCAATAAGCAGCAGTTGTTTTGTCAACTTGGTAACACTTTCTATGAATGTCATGTTTGTAAGCATCTATAAACACATTCATAACATGTTATAATGCATTCATAAGGCAACATAAAATATATAGTCTATAAATAGTCATAAAAAAGCATTACACATTATAGCCAAGCTTATTATGCATTATGAATTTTTTACATAATGCATTATAAGTACTGTTCATAACAAATTATAAGAGCTCATAAGTTTTATTTGTCCGCTCTAAGTAAAGTGAAGCGTACTGTACTAAAGCCTCCTCCAGTGTTAAGAGTAAATACTTCAAGTTGAAGTATTTACTGAAGGATTTACTGAAACACTAAAACATACACAATAAAGCACATTACAGGCCTCAAATGTCAGATTTTAAACTAGTGCTGATATCAGTGTTTTACCCAATGTGTGAAAGTCGATGTACACCACCGTTAGCTTGGCACTAACTTAACACGGCTTATAATGCATTATAATAACAATTCATAATACATAATAAACATAGCTATAAAGTGTATTTCAGTGTAATTCATTTTTATAAATATTTATAACCATGTGTATAATGCCTTATGAATGCATTATAAAATGTTATAAATGTGTTTATAGATGTACAAATGTGACATTCATGGAAAGTGTTACTGTCAACTTCAGTGTCAAGTTGACATAGCACCTACATCAGGTGACAGTTTGCTGACCTTAGGTGTTAAATGACACAGCACATTATGACAGTTGACTTTTTAACTCATTGGTATAAGCCTTTCCAAATGTTTTTGTAGGTTTATGTCAGCTGTTATGAACGTCATGTGATTGTCATGTAGCTTTATGAGCACAGCAAAGTGTTTACAAAATATCTCACAGCAGAAATACACTGGTCCCTCACAGGTTGGTGCTTTAAAATGAATCAAAGCATTGCTAAAGTTTTCAATAATTCAGCATTTTTACGCACCCACAGAATGCCTCAGAGTCAGCTTCTCATGTCTGCTCATCCAGCAATGACATGGGAAAAGCACATCGACTCCTTCAGGTGTTGTTACAATGATTTTGGTGCAGAACCAGTCATCATCCACGTATAGCATCAATGATCGTGGCTTAGGTTCCACTTCAACCAGTAAGAGCTCGCCTATATTTGATTGGCTTTCGATTGTGAAAGTCTGGTTCTGTGGGAATATAACAGACCATTTCAGTTAGAGATATTAATAGCTTACACTAAAAAAAATATTTAAGCCCAAAAGTTAAATCGTATGTATTTTAATTACATCAATTTTCCATACATACATACATAAATCCAATATAAAAATGGTATTATAATATGTTTCTCCATCATGTTCAATAAACTTGAATTAGGTAAATAACATAAAAATTTAAAAGTACTTGTAGGATTTATGCAATTCTTTTACATAACGTTTATGTATTTTTAAAGAGTTAATAGTACCTTCTGTACTGACAGCACAAACTTAGACTGTGTAAATGTATTAAGTGACAATACAGGTTAAATTCACAAACATTTATTGTAGTTCAAACTGTATTAAACAGCATTTGCTGAGTCTCATTAAAGACACATGTAAACATTAAAGTCTAATGTGAAAGAAATAAACATCACTTTACATATTTCAGCTGTGATCAAATTCCCTGGTAACTACTAATTAAAGCAAATGTTTATGTGCACAACATTCCTATTGAGGTGCAGCTCTCATGCTAACCATCATCCAAGATAGCTAATGCTATTGCTCACTTCATACCATGCTAATATGTCGAGGTTACTTACAGTTACAAAAACCATGAACTGTTGATTTGAATATTAATGGAATATGTCTTTATATTCTATGCTTCACAATAATTCACTCCCATTGTTTATTTAATCGACCTTTTGTACCTGTTAACATGACAGCAGACCTAGCAAGGATACTAGCTATCTCGTTTGCTGTGTCTCTCAAAATAAGCAAAATGAAACATTAATATATGGTCAAAAACATTAAAAACACAAATTAAGTTAATGTGCATCACTATTTCATTGCAGTTGTACTGTATAACAAAGGATGGCAGGAGATTGCAAAAATAAAAACGGCAAAAAGATTTCATGTCCACCATGCCAGCTGAAGCAATTTCCTGCTTCCTGTTACTATTGCACATGTGCACTGCCTACTAGTAAGATTTAGTGGAAAAATCTAAAACATACAATTCAATTAAATCAGTTTTGGATTTATCCATATTGGGTTGCTTCCAATGAATATAAATAAGTAAAGTATATTTTTATGTTTAAGTTTTATGTAAAAAGTTTTATGTAAAACATTTTATTAATCATGTTCATCTCATTACCAGTTTTGTGGCCTTTTTTTTCTTCTACAAACAGAGAACTGAATGAACTTACTGATCCAGGCCAAAAGGTTGTTAGCGTTGCAAGCTTATGGGGTCCACTATTGGAGATTGAGCCAATTAACTTGATGTAGATCTTGTTAGAGGTGCCAGCGCCAAGAGCAGTACCGGTGAAGACCTGGATTTCGTACTTTCCCATGGCTACCCTGTAAAATAATGCAATAGAAAACGCATGTTATGGCATGTCTGGTCATTTTCTGGTGTAGCGCCTGATAATAAACTAATTCATGAACTGCTCTTGAGAGTCTATGTCATCATGTATTGAACCATATTGCTATTAATTGTAGATCTAGCCTGGCCCTGTGATGTTCTGGTCCCACTTTATATTGTCTCTAATAACTATGTAGTTGCATGTGAATAACATATGCAATGACAATGTAACTACTAATGCATTAGTCACTGTTACAGATGGATTGCAGACGTACACCTTATATAATTACACAGGTGTATCTTAATAGTTGTAACAGCCTATTCTTTCATGTAATTACACAAGGGTAATAACACAAATCTAATTACATTTGTAATCAGACTGGAACAGCGGTATTAGAAGTTTATTTTCCCCCCCAGCAGTAAAAGGAAGTATGTAATAACTTACATTAAGACATTACTAACACTGTATTTGTTTAGCTAGCATTTATGTTGCTAATGCTGTGACACTGTAACCAGTTTCAGCTTTAAACCATTCTGTATTTATATGTGACAGAACAGCAGACAACACCTTATATTAACATTTATGACTTTTATGACATTAATTGAAGGTATTGCATTTCCCCCCCAAAGCAACATCTGTATTACCACTCCTTTATTATACTACAGTACTTACATTACAAATACACAGGAACTGTCCACTTATTTTAAAGTGTAACTTTAACACTACACTACAGGCAAGTTCCTGTGCAGAATATACACTTGTGTAATTACATGAGGCAAAACTGAAGTTGATAACATGTGTAATTACATAGGCTGTGCTTCTGTAATCCAGCTGTAACAATAACCAAATCATCAGTAGTTACAGTGTTGTTCCATGTTATTCATGTGTAACTACACAGTTATTAGAGACACAATATAAAATTGGGCCGATGTTCTTTGTAAATGCATCCATTCAGTAGATTATTGTGTCTTCCATGGCTTTCCAAGGGACACAGTTATAGTTCAGCTACAGTACATACAGTAACATCTAAAAGCCCTGATGATCTAAAGCCATAATTCATTACCTTTCAGAACAGGGACTGACTGATATCACTCCTGCCATGCCAGATTTCACACACAATATCAATAAAATATTTTTTTTATTGATATATTTTTAAGGTCTACATTACCTAATGCAGGACTGATACTCAGCGAAGACTGTTAATGCTTTAGAAGGAGCGCAGCAAGCTCACCCAAAGTGATACAGCCCTCCTGGATTCACCACATTTATATACCCACAGACACATCAGACCAAGAACCTCCCAAGGAGGGATGTGTCTGTGTTGTGGATTTCATTGGAAATATGGCTGACAGGGTGACTTTGAAAAAAAGTTTCCTGCAAACAAAGCTGTAAAACGTCACTAAACCTACACTAAATCACACAGTGCAACAGTTGAGAACATCAGAACATTAAAGAGATGTTTAACTGGACAGTAACACATTAACATTAACATTAGAATAAACACAAATAATAACAAATAATGACCATTTCAAACATCTTGCTGATTAGGTTTTAATCCGCTACCTGGTTTAATTAGTCATTCTTAATTAAATTATATCAGGTGTGCTGGTGGAGGATCTAGAACTAAACCTTCTGACTAACAAGAGATGTTTGTTGCTTTTTATTGCATTAATGTTTATTTGTGTTGATTCTAATCCTATATAGCATTTTTCACAAACACAAACACTCCTTTTAATTACTTTTTGCTTTTTATTTTTCTTTTTATTTTATTTTAAGACTTTTGCATAGTACTATATGTTAAGCCTGGGTGGGAGGACAATGTAATCGGATGATGGACAAGCAACCCAATGGCAATGTGTAAAAGGCAATAATCGCCACTTTGGGAAAAGAATTGAGAGAGAATAAGAGAGGACTCGTTTATCATTACACTGCTTGCAAAATCTGTTGGGAAACTGGGGTTGACAAAGAGAGAGGGAGAGAGAGAGAGAGGTTGTTAAGAAACTGCCTGTGTTCTTTCTCTCTGCTACACACTGTAATGCTAGCTTTACCTCACAGGGGCCAGATTCACAAAAGTGTCTTAAGAAAGAAAATCTTCTTAAATGTGTGTTTTTTCTTAACTTCATTCTTAAGAAAAAATAATTAAGTTCTTCAAATGACATTTTTAAGAATTCTCTCATTTTATTTCGTTGACAAGTTTCTTAAGAATAATTCTAAGAACAAGTGGTTTTCTAGAAAATGGACAAACCTTATGATAGCCTCACTTGTCTTGTAAGACATGGTCAACAGATGCTGCTTCTGCTACCGCTCATCCTCGTCTGTCACCCCACAATTATCATGTTTTCTAATGAGAACTTTTTCCTGTTGGCTGTTTCTCCCACCATCACCTCTAGTTCTTGTTTGCTACATTTTTTTCCTCCATTTTGCTCCTGAGTGGATTAAACTAAATAACGCAAATAACATTTAATACAACTTTAAAATGTATCTTGCATCATTTATGCCATGTGGTAAAATGCAACATAGCATGTAGAAACAATGAAGATTTTCTAAAGAAATCTTAAGAAACTAATTAAGACTGTCTTGAGAGAATATTTGAGAACGTTTTACTTTTTTTTTCGAGAATTACTTTTAAGAGCAACTCAAACTTCCTAGTGTTTCGCTTAAGAACCTTCAGTTCTGTCATGAATCCGGACCCAGATCCCCATTAATTTAATGGAATCAAAAATAAATGCTGATGTGCTCTGGAACCTCAGCTTGCCTCAAAGTGACTCACTGCAGTAAAAAACAAACAACAACAACAACAACAAAAAAAAAAACAACTAGCATATATCTATGTAAACGTAGATCACCTAAGTTACACTATATTTCAAAAAGTATTTGCTCGTCTGCCTTCACACGCATATGAACTTGAGTGACATCCCATAACAGCTTCAACTTCTGGGAAGGCTTTCCACAAGGTTTAGGAGTGTTTATGGGAATTTTTGACCATTCTTCCAGAAGCACATTTGTGAGGTCAGACATTGACGTTGGATGAGAAGGCCTGGCTCAGAGTCTCTGCTCTATTTCATCCCAAAGGTGTTCTATCAGGTTGAGGTCAGGACTCTGTGCAGGCCAGTCAAGTTCTTCCACACCAAACTCGCTCATCCATGTCTTTCACTAATGTTTGTAGAAGCAGTCTGCAGGCCTAGGTGCTTGGTTTTATACACCTGTGGCCATGGAAGTGACTGGAACATCTGAATTCAATGATTTGGATGGGTGAGTGAATACTTTTGGCAGTCACAGGTAAATTTTGGGTGCCCCTGATCAAATTACATGTTTGTTTGCATCTTTGTTGTTTAAAATAAATTGGAAACAATATAAAGTACATTTAAATATGATGATTTTCTGCCAGGTTCTATAAGGTTCTGAAAGGTTACTCTAGTGATACAAGCTTGACATCGTAACAATTGAAGAACCCTTTTTAGTGCTGTATAGAACCCTTTTCAAATAGGTTCTATATAGAACCGTCTACAGCTCATCCTACATTTGAAAACCTTATCACGATGCAAAGAACCCATTAATCATGCACAGAGTTCTTTGAGGGTTCATGGTTCTATGCAGAACTATTTTCTTTATCCTTATCTCCATATCCCTGTAGTCTATCTAGCTATTTTTTAATCATAAACTGAGTGGAGCCCTCTGGGAAAAAGCTGATCTTTTAATTTCACAAGCAAGGAGGAACCGACCCTCCAACCAACGTCTTTTTACCCCATATCCTGTTCCTCTTTCTATCCCCAAGTATGACATCCACAGTTATAAACTGCAAAAATGCATATCTTATCTTCATGGCAAGAACGTGCATCCTGACTGAGAACGTTTCGTAACTGCGAGCAATGTAAAGGTTGATGATAAGGAGAGAAATTGCTAAAAGAACTACGACTGTGTGCTTTTAGAAGCCGTTATAACTGTAAAAACTCTTGTTTTCTCTCTCTTGAAGTAGAACTGTTAGTTTTGTCTTTTGAGTAATCCTATGTAACTAGTAAGAAAAGTCTTTTTTCCTTTAGTAATGATGTTATTTTCCTTTCTCCTAAATTAGGATTATTAGTCAGAAGGATTACTTTATGTAACTTTATGTAACCACTGAGTGAAGTAAGAGTACTTCAAGTCTGCTAGTTTGTGCCTGCATTAGATTTCTAGTAACACTCCCTGTTTGAAACAGTAATAGGGTTTATATAGGAAAGTGTAGACTTAGTGTTCTTTTATTTTAATGATAAGCACCTCCACTCAGAAATCTGTGTATGTGAAGTAATTGAATAGTGAATTTGAGCAGATAGTCCAATGTGCATAATCATTAGCAACAAGATCCTTTTTCCTGCCTTAAACTCCAGCAGACAAGCAATGAGATAGAGAGGTAAAGATGTAACCACCAAAAAAGGAAAAGAAGCACTTAAAATCTGCACATTTTAGATTTTTATTTTTATTGTCCATGTCACAGTTTGTTGTGTCTTTGTTTCATTTCTTTTATCACTCTTTTACATAATCACCTGAAAGAGGTGTTTTAAGTATTAAGACTATTGCACTTCCAATAGTTTAACTGAGCTGCATTTGACTTCAAGTTTTGGCAATTCAATTTGTAAGTTTTGATTGGCCAATAATAGCCTGCTGCCAAATCTCCTCCTCCTCCCCATCCCAATACCCCTACCAACGAACCAGCCCTGTGTCCCCATCCCAATACCCCTACCAATGAACCAGTCCTGTCTTCCCATCCCAATACCCCAACTAATGAACCAATCCTGTCCCTTCATCTCCATACCCCAACTAATGAACCAGTCCTGTCCCTTCATCTCCATACCCCAACTAATGAATCAGTCTTGTCCCTTCATCCCCATTTCCCAACCAATGAACCAGTCCTGTCCCTTCATCCCCATAACCCTACCAATGAACCAACCCTGTCTCCCCATCCCAATACCCCTACCAATGAACCAGCCCTGTCTTCCCATCCCAATACCCCAACTAATGAACCAATCCTGTCCCTTCATCTCCATACCCCAACTAATGAACCAATCCTGTCCCTTCATCTCCATACCCCAACCAATGAACCAGTCCTGTCCCTTCATCCCCATACCCCTACCAATGAACCAGTCCTGTCCCGTCATCCCCATACCCCAACCAATGAACCTGTCCTGTCCCTTCATCCCCATACCCCAACCAATGAACCAGTCCTGTCCCTTCATCCTCATACCCCAACTAATGAACCAGTCCTGTCCCTTCATCCCCAGATCCCCAACCAATGAACCTGTCCTGTCCCTTCGTCTCCATACCCCAACCAATGAACCTGTCCTGTCCCTTCATCCCCATACCCCAAACAATGAACCAGTCCTGTCCCTTCATCCCCATACCCCAACCAATGAACCAGTCCTGTTCCTTCACCCCCATACCCCAACTAATGAACCAGTCCTGTCCCTTCATCCCCATTTCCCAACCAATGAACCAGTCCTGTCCCTTCATCCCCATACCCCAACCAATGAACCAATCCTGTCCCTTCATCCCCATACCCTAACCAATGAACCAGTCCTGTCCCCTCACCCCCATACCCCAAACAATGAACCAGTCCTGTCCCTTTATCCCCATACCCCAACCAATGAACCAGTCCTGTTCCTTCACCCCATACCCCAATCAATGAACCAATCCTGTCCACTCATCCCCATATCCCAACCAATGAACCAGCCATGTCCCCTCATCCTCAAACCCAAGCATGTCCCTTCACCCCCAATCCCCAACCAATGTACCAGTCCTGTCCCTTCATCCCCATACCCCAACCAATGAACCAATCCTGTCCCTTCATCCCCATACCCCAACCAATGAACCAGTCCTGTCCCTTCATCCCCATACCCCAACCAATAACCCAATACTGTCCCTTCATCCACATACCCCTACCAATAAACCAGTCCTGTTCCTTCACCCCCATACCCCAACCAATGAACCAGTCCTGTCTCTTCATCCCCATATCCCAATCAATGAACCAGTCCTGTCCCCTCATCCCCATAGCCCAATCAATAAACCAATCCTGTTCCCTCATCCCCATATCCCAACCAATGAACCAGCTCCGTCCCCTCATCCTCATACTCCAAGAGTGTCCCTTCATCCCCAATCCCCAACCAATGAACCAGTCCTGTCTCCTCATCCCCATATCCCAACCAATGAACCAGCCCTGTCCCCTCATCCCCATACCCCAACCAATCAACCAGTCCTGTCTCCTCATCTCCAAACCCCAACCAATCAATCAGTCCTGTCCCTTCATCCCCATA